TGCAGCATACTTCACGTTTTACTAGCAAAGTGACAAGGCTGATAAACAAAAATGTCTTCAGACACATCAGCAGGCGGCCTTGTCAGTGTGGCTGCTGTGGAACAATGTCAGCGCTCCTCTTTGAGTTTTGGATGAAAGTTAGTTTCCAGGCCTGTACTGTGACTCTCATGCATCCTGTTGTAAACATAAACCTAAATGTCCTCAGTCACCATCATCTTTTTGCATCTTGTGCAGCCCAATGTGTGCATGTATAGCTATGCCAAATATATGCCCAGACACATCTATGGACACATCCATACAAAGACACCCAATGTCAAACACAGAAGCGAGTCCATGTGCACCATCTCCCCTGCTGTCTGCATCTGTTTTGAAATACATCAGAGCCCTGAGTGATTAAGTTGTGCACTGAGCCTCTCTCAGCTGTAGGTCTACTGATCTGACTCCAATCTGTGATACTGAGCCAAAAATCTTCTTCATTTCTGTTGGGCAAATAATCATACATCATGCTGAAACAGCTGCAGCACAGAGAACGCCTGTGAGGGGATTGTAGCTGAAATGTGGGATTCAAAAAGGCTTGTAGACACACTCGCAACACCTCCCACATGAACACGGCCATGTTGTTTATCTCCCATTATTGCCTTATCAATAATTAGCACATACGTATTTGATCAGGAACTATTTTCCATTTACCCAATGGTATCTCCTAATACCTTAATTATGCAAAGTCTTGATAGCATTTGGACTTGAACGGATGCTGGTAAATTTCTACAGGAGAGAAAGAGCACAGAAAACAGGCCTGACATTCACTGTGAACTGAATTAGCCTTTAATCATTAGGTCTCCGCAGAGCAGAGGGTGCGTGTCTTTTCTTAGCTGCACCTTTCTCTTTCTGCACACAGCAGCTGCAGCAGCTGAGGGTTAAGGACTGAGCTAAAGGCTGTAATCTCACAGATGTGTAGAGTGTGTAGCTACACACTCATTCTGTGTGAATCAGCGTCCATCACGTAGCAAGCTAATGAAGAAGGTGTGCAGAGGCTGACGGCCAAACAGCCCTGGAAGCTACAGCCCAAAGCATTGAGCATCACCTCCCCGAATGAGCAATAATGCAGCACCTGTCACTCCTGAAAGATCACCTTCCCCTCCACAGTCTCTGGCCATTACTGTGGCTCTGCTGTCTCCAGCACACGCTCATCATTAAGCTCTGTTACTGTGTGTTTCTGAGAGCAGATGCTCCTGTAAAGCCATGAGCCCCGCCGTGCGCTCTCAGGAGAAGCATTAAGGCGCAAATATTTTCTTCAACAACTGTATTACCAGAGGGAGGACTGGCAAGCAGCTGCTTGGGATGTTGTAACGCTGTTGGGTAATTAGACTGAGCATCATTAAACAACGAAACCATGCTGCAGCCTGACCACACACACACCACACACGCTCACAGTCAAGGACCTTCGCTTTTAGTTATCTTAAGTGCAGAGCGTGCTGATGGAGCTCCGCCTGGGGACACATTATGTCTGTCAACAGACCGGCCAATCACATTCCGTAACACCGCTCTAGGTTTCCCCTATATGTAGCCCCCTGGAAAAACAGCCAGAACCAAAGTGGGAAGGGCTGCTAGCTCAGGATGTAGTTTTCTTGATATTAAAGGACTAGTTCAACATTTTTTTAAATATGCCTTAAAGCAGCCTTCTGATGCCTTTCCAGGGTCAAATCAGTGCACACTCCACCTAAAAATGGTCTATTTTCATTCCAGCTCAAAAATCCACCATCTCCAACACTAGAATGAACTTGATGTCATGTTTCTGCCTAACTGACATACGTGAGTCCAATATTCACTCTCTTTTACCTATGTTCTTCTATAAAAAAAACAGCTGTCTGTTAGAAATTGGGTTCATGGGAGTTTGGCAGGCTGGAAAAAAGTAAAAAAAACCTGATAAAAGAGGCTAATAAGTTTTGCAAGGCTAAGAGGAGCTGCAGATTTGCACAATGCAACACTTTTCACCTAACACAGTGTAGTGGGAAAATGCATCTTCTGATCATCTGATTCATTGTTAATTCACTGTTCCACATGGGTGGGGAGGCCGAAGGAACTAAAACAAATGTGTGCGTGTGTGTGTGTGTGTGTACGTGCGTGCATGCGTCGTGCGTTTGTACTCGTGTTTCATATCAATAAAAAAAACTGTGTAGCATGATACTAAAGGACCAGGATATGTTTCTGCTGAAAAACAATAAACAGGAATTTTAGCCCAGCCCCACTTACAGCAGCCTCATCTCCTCACACCTTAGTCACAATGCCTCTTAATGCAGGGACCTTGATCATACAAATATGATTTCTACCAAACACAAACAAAAAGGGTCAAATGTTGTATTAACAGTCTAAAAGCCTTCATATTGCCTGAATTTGAGCCTGACATCCCTATCAGCATTTGTCAGCCAATAAGTGAGTTGCACACAGATATGGAGGTAGTTTAAACAGCGAAATTCTCCAGACAGCACTGGCACTTTTCCCATTCAGGTCATCATTTGGTCACAATTCTTATAAATAAATTGAGGGATTCTTAGTAAAATAGTTTGTCGTGTAAAAATAAAATGATTTACCAATATCTGCCTCAAAAATCCAGCATTAGAGGGGATACAGCCTGGATAAAATAGTGTAAAATTGGCTATATTTGGATTTTAATCAGACCAAAGAATGAGTAAAGAAAGATTATAAATTTGTCCACATTTGTTGCCAGCTTTCAGTACTTGACAGTTTTCAATAACTCAGTGCTGTGCACACAGGCTGAGGCCCAGGGTCTCTGAACTACAAAGGGCTTCTGAATGTCAATATTAATTATAAATGTATGGGGGTTAATGTCATAAACCCTGTGTACTGATTGGTCAGTTTGCTATCACAGTGTTTCAACATTACGAGCTGCTTTGGCAACATCTTGACTGCAAAACCCCAGAGAATTTCAGAGACATGAGAGTGCTGCTCAGAAGCAAAAAGGTACTTAAAAAATACTAAAGTTAGCAGGATTTTTTTAAAGACTCCAAATGACAAAGCAGCAGGCGCAAGTCCTGTGACTGAGCTACCCGACAACCCTGCAGCAGCTACTACAGTTAGCATGGAGCCTCGGAGGCACATTCACCTCTACCTCTGCTGCAAAAGAAATATTCCAGGCACTTGGAGGGAAGTGTGGTCGAAGAAGCCGTTCAGTTTGGGTATTTATGTGCAAACCAACCACCTGCTCGCACAAAGACTGGAAACTGGCAAACAGCTATGGGGCACCCTGGGAGCTCACCTGGTAGAGCTGGCACCCCATGTACCAAGGCTGAGTCCCTGCTGCAGCAGCCATGGGTTCAAGTCTGACCTGTGGCTCTTTTTTGCGTGTCACTCTTCAGCTGTCACTATCCATTAAAGGCAATAAAAGCCCAAAAAATAGATTTTAAAAGAGGAGCAAACAGCCAGCTTGGCAATGTCCAACGAACACACAAAATCTGCCTACCAACACTGATAGAGGTCACAGTTTCAGTTGTTGAATCCATACAAAAGCCGAAGTATAAAAACAACACATGTAGACCAAAAACATCAGTTCAGAACCTGAAAAGTAGGTTCCCAGCTGGAACCAAAAGGTAGCTGGTTTTCCTTGGGAACCAAAGTGGGCGTGTCATATTCTACAGGTTGTTGTGCATTGTGCAGCGCCCTCTGTTGAGGAAGCATGCTTGATTCCAATGGTTCCACTCACACTGGTGGAAACACTGGGCTGGTTTTTGTAGATGGTACATAGTACAGAGTTAAATCGGTGGAAAAGGAGTACTTGTGGTTTTACATGGCACACTATTTATTCTGTACAGAATTTAGCCAAGCCCAGGGGTCTATGACAGGATTAAATCCCCCTTGGCTATGCACCATAGTATACACAGCCATACTCATTGTTAACTACTGTATGGTCTTTGCAGGAGTCTCCCCCCCAATTTTATTTTTCTCAACAAAGTTACAGTTCAGTAGGAAGGAGACTGAACAGCCTTTATTATATCCTGGAATTTAAAGCCATCTCAGACCTATGTATAGAGCATTACACTCTAATACTGCATCATCAACAGAATCATACAATTGGAAGAAAAAGGAGTTAACAATCTTGGAGCAACCGTTTTTTGTTTCTGTTTCAGTCCTCTTTCACATGAGCGAGGCTCAGTCTGGATTCCCTCCTCTTCAGGAACACTGTGTGGGCTGTGCTCTTTCCCTCATGCAATCACTGCAACATAATATCATTTTATAACACAATCCCACCCTGTTCTGGACGCTCGCCTGGCTCCTTCCGACACAAAATCCAGCGCCAAACCGGGAGCGCAGCAAGCAGACCCGCCCTCCTGGAGAGCACACACAGCGCACCGCAAAACATCCCGTGTTTTCCCATCGTCCACCACAACTTTTACATGACCCCGCACTGACTGCACGCCTCCACCTCAGACACCGTGGAAGTGAGCGTCCTGCAGAGCTGCGCAACAAGTTCCACATAAACCCGTTCTCTGCGTGGATCTCTGGCTGAATGAAAGCGGTGCTGAGGGCAGAGGACTGGGATGTGCTGGGACAAGCTGAGTGCGCAGCTGGCCAGCAGAGCTCCAACTCAGTGTATAAATATTTATAATGGGAACTCTGGAGAAAGCTCCAGGGTATCGCTCTCGTACTCACTCCCCGCGCGTCTGTAGCGACTTTGGAGCGACCACATCACACTTTCTGGTATCTTCTGTCTCATATGAAGGCTGTGGAACACTCCTTAACGCGTTGTTTTATCAACTATTTAGCTGCTATTGTTGTAAAGTTAACTGTGAGGCTACAACAGCTTCTTTCCATAAGGGGACCGCTGTATGACGTCAGCCTTAATTGTGCGTTCATACAGCTCTCACGCGACAGTTAGCAACAGGACGGTCCGCTCGCGCTCCTATCAGTGACTCTGCGGTGGAACTAGCAGAAAGTACTCGGAGGAGGACGACGGCGGAGTTGGGACAGCGGGGAGAACTTACTTGAAGGTGAGGATGCACAGCGGTCTGTAGGACTTGTGGCTCGTGTTGTCCGCCATCCTCTTGCCCCAGAAGTCGTTGTTGAAGATGTTCCTGAGGCTGGAGCCCGGTCGGACGTCCGGGTTGTTGATGATAGCCCACACGTCGTCGTGCACCAACTCCCCGCGGAGAGAGTTGCCGTAGCACAGGGCGCACAGGGCGGCCAGCACGGCGTAGCGACCCGCAGCCAACACCGCCTCCAGCCGGACGGTCAGCCGCGGCTTCTGGCGGGCTTTCTTCTCCCGTCCCGGCGCTGTCATGTCGGCCCTGGCTTCTCCCGCGGCTCCGCTGGGCTGAGGATGAAGCTGGGGGTACCGGAGGATACGTCCATTCCGCCTGGCAGGTAGCGGCTGTGTGCGCTGTGGACTGCGGGGACTGTGTGCATGTGTCGTGCTGCCTTCAGGTGCAGTGAGGAAACGTCGGACGCACGGCTTATGGGAGAGCAGCGCTGTTTTATGTTTTTGTTTTCAGTATCTGTGCAAATAGAAAATTGGATATTTATTCGTCATATTATATTGTATTTATGCACTTATTTTAACATTCATCTGTTAATTGAACGATTGATAGATGAACTTATATGCAATGTATAATTATTTAACACAGTTTTTTATTATAAAATCCAAACTTGCAAACAATATGCATGAAAGTCCATTCTTGACCTTGAAAAAAGTAATTTGAGAAGAAATTAAATATTACCTTAATGTCCATTTGGCTTGTCAACTTTCAGCTGCATCTTATGGTCTTCCTCAGCATCTGGAAGAGTCAGTGTCTTTCTATGGAAAAAATAAATGAAAAAATAAGTTCAGGAAAACAGCTAAGGCATGTTTTTTTGTGATAAAACCATTGCTAAAAAGGATCAATTAGCATAACACAGCGACTAACAAAGTGCACCATAACATGAATATGATAGGCTATAGGATGAATAAGTTTGTTATCTCACATAGTCTTGTTTATCTTTCTGTGGGGGGGGGCAGCCAATGGATAGGAAGTTTTTTGTAATAGTATTGACATACTGACATAAAAACAACTTTAAAATAAATTACTTCTCACACAGTAAAAATATACTAATAATAATATAATAAAATAAAAACCTGCAAAAAGATTTATCTAAAGAAGGAAATTAAGCCTGCATAGCTCCAATTACCATGTCTGTGTGCAGCCATTAATATAAAAAGCCTAATGAAACTCATACTTATGATTGGCAGAAATTTAACAGAATTAAATATGACAGGGAAAAGTCTAATTATTCTATAATAAGCCTCCAGGGTTTCAGTGGATGAAAGCTTGTGGCAGGCTGTAATGCTATAATTAGTAATATTAAGTATGAATATTGGACAAAGGGCATGGTTGAGCCACAAGTCTTGGATGTACGAGCTTTTGTGGAGTACCAGAACGGGACATCAGCTCCGAGAACCCGCCTGCGGACGCATGCGCAGGAGCATGCTGCCTCTCATCAGCTGCAGAAAATCAATGCTGGTCGGCGGAAGCTGCACGAGCACATGCTTGCGATGGCACAGACCTGACCTTTTCCGAGAGGAGCACGAGGAGGCGGTGAAAGCGAGGCTCCTGCAGCAGAGGCGCTCCAGGCTCAACTATGGAAACCCATTTCCGCCAATGGGAATAATAAAAAAGGATTCTGTAAGTCATTATAATGAGAAACCTTCACTAAATATTTACTTAGTATCACAAAGTCAATATGTTGAGATACCAGTGAAACAATTTAGAACGTTTCTCATTATTTTCAGAAACAAAGTCAATATTTTTCTCATTATAATAACTTACAGAATCTTTTTTTTTTTCTTCATCGCATTGGCAGAAATGGGCTTCCATACTCAACATATGATAGGCAACATCATATCTTGTTCATTTAGCAGTCAATAAAGTTTAGCGTTTTTGAGCTTCAGGGTCAAAAAGTTCAAGAAACTACTTACACATTTTTAAAAGCAAGTCTATTTCTTCTCACTGAAAAATCCAGAATATAGACTGTATGTAAATATTTGTTGGACACATGACGTCTCCTACATTCTCAATATGGCTGACCTACACAGTTTGTAATTTGGATCTGGACCAGACTTAGCTCCAGTCTAGTTGCATGGCGTTAACCATAGTACATTTTGATTACACAAAAAGAAAGAAAGAAAGAAAGAAGACCAATCGATTAATCCACCAGTAGTTGCAGCTCTAAAGAGAATAGACTAGAAAATCATTGCACCTTCAATCCTTCTTTAATAAAGCTCTATACTAGGTCTCTATACATTGTGCAGGCTTTATAGCTTGAATTGTCAAAAAATAAATAAAAATAAATGATTCATAAACCAAATGTCTATTATTTATACAGTGTTTTATATGTGTCCAAGCCATTATCTCTATATTGCCCCTGCAGGGCTGCGGCTGCATGTTCCACCATTATCAGTTCCTTCAGCTAGTGATTCAAACAAACACTATCTTACTTTACAGTCCATAAGAATGAGAGAAATATCTCCAATTATATTTGTTTTCCTGGGATTTGTTTTAAGGTCACAAAGCAAAAGAGAGAGAGAGACCTAGAGAACACGTGGGTGTGTTGGAGAGAGAGCCTGAGGGCAGACAGCAGAGAGTCAGTCAACAACAAGCTGAACATCTGGTGTGTCCCCTCGTGGCCTGACCGACTCATTGCGATTCCTGTTGCGTGGTGTCCAGCTGGTCACTGAGCGATCTGAAACCGAGCTCATTTCAGTCGGAGGCGCCGTAGCACACTGCAACAGCTGCTCACGCCGAAAAACAAACTGACCTTCTTCCTTTACAGCAGACTGCGAGATGAAAGTGTGGCCAGTCAGTGCCACGTTCTACAGTGCATGTTAACACAGCTCTCTATCACCTGTACCCTCTGTGTAATGTGAAGAGGCTCGCTCGTATGAGGAACCCACAGAACATCAGCAACTCTGCAGCACTGGAACACAGTTCTATTTTAGACAATATAGCGAGAACAACTATTCGCTAACTATCTGCCTGTGTTGTTATCGCAGCCTCTCTGTGGCTTGTTTACATAGCCAGTCTGGCCGTGTGCAGCTGAGTAGAGCGACTGAAACTGCTGTTTTTATTATCTAGGTCTGTGAATTAAGGAATTATTTTGACCAAACCAGAGGGATAGTTGGAACAGTGGAAGGAAACAAAGAAAGTTTTTGGAAAGGTTTATTGTGTTTCTGTCCACTATGAAGTTACGATGATATGCAAGGGAAAATTTGTGCCTTTTTCTATGGAGTCTGTTGGCAAGCGGTAGAGATATTATGGCTGTTTCTGATTAAACAAAAGGTCTATCTCTGCAGGGGTCCTTTCCATAATGTTGTCAGACACTGAGAATAACAATCTGAGTCCGTCAGTGGCAAAAACAACAACTTTTAGTGGACATACTTTGACGGGCGCATTTGCCACCAAGGATTAATGTTAGCTTACGTAGCGGCCATTGCCAAAAGCCTTTTTTCACAAATATTTTCCTATCTAACAATGTGAATTAAGGTTTTATTTTGACCAAACCAGAGTTGGTAAAGACTAACAGAGACGGTCCTTGATGCCGGTACTCTGGTGTGCCATCCTGTGGCAAGTGAATTTAGTATCTATGACCTTTAACTAATTTTACCGCACATTCATTTATTACGTTTTCTTCCAGCATTAGCCGGCTTCCAGTACCCTGAACTGCTACTCACAACTTCCATCCATATACACTTCTATAAAACCAATGATGGATGATGGATTGTGTTGTAAGTATGACAGATTTTTGTAAAGGATTGTGGGTAACACAGGGCCCTGGATGGTAATGGATCTAGTACTCAGTGATGATGAATATCACTTGTTTTAAAACATTTGTTTATCCAGGAAAGATTGATGAAGCATGCAGGCACGTTTTTCAGGAAATCCACTTCCCCGTTGACATTTCACTTATCATAGTGGCAGTGGTGTGTGTGTGTGTGTGTGTGTGTGTGTGTGTGTGTGTGTGTGTGTGTGTGTGTGTGTGTGTGTGTGTGTGTGTGTGTGTGTGTGTGTGTGTGTGTGTGGAGCTGAGAGTGACTGGTGGTAGCAGCCAGGTCAGCAGGTACATGAGGGGCAGTGGAGCGATACAGGCTGACAGACTGCCTGCTATCCATGACTGCTGCTGCAACAAGCCACCACTCTGCTCTGACACACACACACACACACACACACACACAGCATCTCCCAATGGCAATATGTGTACGCATCTGTCTTTCCTTTTCTGTCTCTCACACACACACACACACACACACACACACACTTGGGGAACGTACTAATAGTGAGTTGCAGGGTGGGAGAGGTTATTAGAAGGGCTTGGGATGGTTACAGGGAAAACTGTCAAGCAAACAAGATGGCTGGCCTAAATGATGACTTAAATTAGCCAGTAGACAGTATGTAAATATTTGTTTGACACATGATGTCTCCTACATTGTCAATATGGCCGACCTACACAGTTTGTCATTTGGATCTGGACCAGGCTTAGCTCCAGTCTAGTTGCATGGTGTTAACCATAGTTCACTGTGTAGGCTGAGTCCTTATGCAGCGGCCTGGGTTCGGGTCCAACCAGCACTTTGCTGCATGTCATCCCTGCTCTCCCTCTTCCACCTTTCCTGTCTTCACCTAACCTATCAAAATAAAGGTATAAAAGCAAAAAAACAACAACAGCAAGAATGAATCAACGCAAACTTGACTTTGTAAGGTTTGTAAGGATAAGTTGCACTACATTGCATTCACATTCATTCATTCAAGTATAAGTGAATGCAATGCAATGTACAGCTACCTACATTTTTAAATTACATTTTGATTACACAAAATATATACATATATGTGGTATGCACATATGTGATTCTGCTAAACCTCATTATTCAGTTCCAGAATACCGCAGCTTTACATTATGCTTGGTATACACCTTAAATAATGTAAGAAATTGAAAAATGTTTTGCATGTTGGCAACCGGTGTGACATACAAGAAAACGGGTTTCAGATGGGAGCCGGCTCCGGTGGTCCACTTAAAGACGACACAAATGAACCATCTTAGCTGCCATGCAAGCGAGATGTTGGCTCTTGTTATACTCAAGCAATGTTTTTCAGAAACTTGACACGCTTTTGAAGCTCTCCGACTTGAAGATAACTGCACAATCCATAGTTGAAGTTTTGGCCACATCCTTAGAGCGACTCCCTTCCCCGACGTTGCATTTTAATTTATTGTTAAGCCCTGGTTTAAAGGTGGTTTTCCACCGTAAGCAGCACTGTGGGGGCACGGTCCACCTTCAAAAAGTCATTAAAATGCAAAGTTCTACTTGCTGTCACATGCTTCCAGTGTGGATCTCTTAAGTGAAACTGCTGCTGATTCTTTTAGTATGTGTCTCCTGTTTGCTTACATTACATAGTGGTTGTACCAGCAACCCTGTCTGCTAGAAATTAAGTTTATATAGGGCGCCCTGGTAGCTCAACTGGTGGAGCTGGCACCTCGTGT